CCCTCACCCCGTGTCTCTCTCTCACTCTCCGCGCGTGTCTCCGTACCCCCGCTGTGCCCCCCTCGCCCTCTCCCCGCTAGGAGATGCTGAACACGAGCCGGGCGCAGGTCGCGGACGCCCACACTCGCCTGGCGCAGAACAAACTCGACTCGGCCGAGGAGATCCTTCGCAGGGTGGTGAGTCGACTCGTCGGATGCCCACGGCTATCGCCGCACCAAAGACAAAGGTCCCCTCACCAACTCCTGCCCTGTAGCCTGGGCCAAGGGCTGTTGGTAAGCGAGTAGCGGGCACCTTGGGAAGGCCGGCACGTTGGCGCACGAGGAGGAGGATGGGGGTGGCCAGAACCACGCCGGCCCCACCTCCCCGTCTTGTCTCTTCTCACAATTCAAGTTCCTAGAATCAACCCACCCGCGCCTGCAACATGGCTTCATCCCAGAGGTCGCATTTGGGTACCTGTACCCTACCCAATACCCGGCCGGGTACAGGTAGCCGGGTATCGGGTAGGGTACGGGTATGGCCGGGTACGGGTACCCGTTTGCGACCCTCGTGCGGCCGGGTACGGGTACGGAATCAAAACCCGTTTGCGACCTCTGATGTGTGTGTGTGGTCTAGCATGGGGGGGTGGGGGGGGAGGCGATGCTGCAGCTACTGCTGCTGATGCTGCTCCGTGTGTGATCCCAAATGAGTGAAACATTTTTTTTGCGTTTTTTTTACTTTTCTCGTTTGGCAAAAGGAATAAAACCGATAGCATCCAGCGCCAATGCTAAACCAGCCTCGGTGGCTGTGTGTGCGTGACTTTATTTCACACCGTACGTATCCAACCGCGCTAATCGGAAGTGTGTGCTCATGTGCCTGCGTGCGTGTGTTTGTGTGTTGGTGTGCGTGTGTGTGTGTATGTGCGTGTGTGTGTGTGTTGGTATGCGCCCGCGTGTGTTGGTGTGCGTGTGTGTGTGTGTCGGTGTGCTTGTGTGTCGGTGTGCTTGTGTGTGTGTGTGCGCCTGTGTGTGTGTGTGCGCCTGTGTGTGTTGGTGTGCGCCCGCGTGTGTGTGTGTGTGTCGGTGTGCTTGTGTGTGTGTGTGTGCGCCTGTGTGTGTGTTGGTGTGCGCCCGCGTGTGTGTGTCGGTGTGCTTGTGTGTCGGTGTGCTTGTGTGTGTGTGTGCGCCTGTGTGTGTGTTGGTGTGCACCCGCGTGTGTGTGTCGGTGTGCTTGTGTGTCGGTGTGCTTGTGTGTGTGTGTGCGCCTGTGTGTGTGTTGGTGTGCGTCCGCGTGTGTGTGTGTGTGTCGGTGTGCTTGTGTGTCGGTGTGCTTGTGTGTGTGTGTGCGCCTGTGTGTGTGTCGGTGTGCGTGTGTGCGTGCGTGGTGCGTCAACTTCGGGCGTGCAGAGGAACACGAACCCGACGCTGAACGAGAGCCAGGTGCTGGAGGTGTGTCAGCTGGTGCAGCGGAACCAGCAGGCCGACCGGCGGCGCTTCGAGGGCAACTACCAGGAGCTGCTGGCACGCCACCAGATGGTGCGTGGACGACGACGATGACGACGTCGTCACGTGATCACACCCACATACATACATACACACACATACACACATATTCACATACATACACACACACATACATACACACACATACACACACACATACATACACATACATATATACATATACATACATACACACACACACATACCTACACACACATACAACAACAACAACAACCGCCATTCGCCACTAAGTGGCGGTGACGTCACCACGACGCTTGTGCCAGGCCATGTGCACATTGAGGCCACGTGAAGACATACACACAGACACACACACACACAGACACAACAACAACAACAACCGCCATTCACCACAAAGTGGCGGTGACGTCACCACGACGCTTGTGCCAGGCCAAGTGCACCTTGAGGCCACGTGAAGTGTCGAACGCCCGCGGGCAGGAGGTCACGGGGCACACCCAGCAGGTGCCACGGGTCGACTGACCGAGATGACCGAGATGACTGGCTGATGCACCACCTGTGCCCCCTGCTGTGCCAACTTGCTGTGCTTTAGCCACACACACACATAACAGACAAAGATCCCCATGTAGCCTTAACAGGCTGTAGGGGCAAGTGCTGTTAGCGAGCATCTATGAAGGCCGGCACGGCACACGAGGGGGTGGGTGTCCAGAAAAACGCCCGACCGCCTTTGTCTCCCCAGTGGCGATGTTTAAAAATTGCACCGGGTGCTCATTGAGTCTACCTAGGGGAGGCCCAGGACCGGTTCAGATAATCGTCACCGGTGTTGACATGTACACACACACGCGTGTACACCAGGCACACAACAACAACAACAACAACCGCCATTCGCCACTAAGTGGCGGTGACGTCACCACGACGGGCACACACCAGGCACACACACGTATACACACACACATGTACACCGAGTACACATACACACGTGTACACACACACGCGTGTACACCGGGCACACATACACACGTGTATACACACACATGTACACCGAGTACACATACACACGTATACACACACACACGTACACCGAGTACACATACACACGTGTATACACACACACACACACACGTGTACACACGCGTGTACTCACCATCTCTCCGACCCCCTCCCTCCCCACCACCAGATCTTCCAGGCCTACCAGAGCTTGGCCCAGCAGACGGCGCAGATGCAGGCACAAGCCATGCTGCAGCAGCAGCAGCACCAGCAGCAGCTGCTCACCATGCAGGCGGCCGCCGCCTACAGACCGCACATTGGCGGCCTTCACGGCCTGCTGCAGCAGCAGCAGCAGCAGCGTGGCGGTATTGGTGTCGGCGGCGCTATGCCCGGCTCGTCCTCCGGGGCCGTGCCACAGACGGGGGACGGCTCTCAACAGGAGCCCATTCTGCTGTGATTGTGACGGAGCTGCTACGGGCCTAAACGTTGATTGGCCCGGGGTGAGGGCGGGCACGGGTTGGGGTGGTTTGGTAGGCCTCCTCTGTAGGCCTCTCTGTAGGCCTCTCTGTAGCAGGCCTCCTCTGTAGGCCTCTCTGTAGCAGGCCTCCTCTGTAGGCCTCTCTGTAGCAGGCCTCCTCTGTAGGCCTCTCTGTAGCAGGCCTCCTCTGTAGGCCTCTCTGTAGCAGGCCTCCTCTGTAGGCCTCTCTGTAGCAGGCCCCCTCTGTAGGCCGTCGCCGTGCCCTATCACCGGGTCACCGCTGTCTCCGCTGTCTCCCCTCGCCTTGGTGGGTCGGAGCGAGGTGATAATCGTTGGGGGGGTGGGTGGGTGGGTGGCTTTGCAAGTCGCCCCATCGTTGTTGTTATTGTTGTTGGGTCGCTGTGGCCTGTTTGTGGGGTGGGGGGAGGGGGGCGATTGTGGTTTTGAGTGTGGGCCGGCGGTGGAGGCCCAACTGGCAGGTCGCTGTAGGTCAGAGCGAGCTAGCGTGGGTCGCTGTGGCCTAGCGTGGGTCGCTAAAGCCTACCGTGGGTTGTTATGGCCTAATGTTGGTTATTGGCAAAATGTGGCCGAATATTGGATCACTGGTTCACTGTGGGTCACTGGGTCAGAGCGAGCTAATGTGGGCCTCAGTGTGAGCTAATGTTGGCCACTGGCTTAACGTTCGCCTCTGTGGCCTAATGTGGGCCGGTGCGATTTCAGTGTCAACACCGCTGCGGGCTCCATTGAGAGAGATTCGGCTCCGTTTGAGCCACGGGCAAAGCGACGGGTGGGGGGGGGCCTCGCTCCAGCCTGTCGTCGTCACAGCCTCGGGCCCCCCGCCCCCCCTCCAGGGAAGGCCACTAACGGCCTGGACGCAAACCAACCACGGGCCCCCCCCCCACTCCCTTCCGTCACATCCCTGCCCCCACCCCCGATTTTTTGCTACTGTATCTGTCGGCGTTGCTGCAGCATCGCCGGCAAATTTGTGTTGACCATCACCAGGGCACTTTTTTGTTTTTCTTTCGGGGGGTCGGGTGGGGGGGGGGCTACATTCCCCCTCCCCCCCCCCCCCCGCCGCCCCCCAATGTCAGAAGTCTTTGTTGCGAGGAGCTCCGGTCCAGGAGCAGCGATGGTGTTGTCGCCTTGGTGATGTCGTCCGTGTGTTATTTTTATATAGACCCAGATCATCCCAGCCGCCGTGTGCAACCGCACCGATCACGCTCTCTCTCCCGCTCGCCCGGTTGCCTAGCGACCCGCGCGGCCGGTTGCCCTAGCGACCCCGCGCGGCCGGTTGCCCTAGCGACCCCGCGCGGCCGGTTGCCCTAGCGACCCCGCGCGGCCGGTTGCCCTAGCGACCCGCGCGGCCGGTTGCCCTAGCGACCCGCGCGGCCGGTTGCCCTAGCGACCCGCGCGGCCGGTTGCCCTAGCGACCCGCGCGGCCGGTTGCCCTAGCGACCAACGCTCGCGAACCGGTTGCCTTGGCAGCGGTGGATGGGTTGCCCTCTTTCCGACCGAGCGTCGATTCCGCGCGGCGTTTTCCCTCGACTTGACGCCAAAACCGCTCGCCGTTCTGTGTCACATGACCACCACCACCGCCACCGTTTTTTTGTTTAATTTTTAATTTTATTCCCCCGGTAAATATTCACCGCGTTACCGCCGCGTCACGGCAAACCGGCGGCTGTAAGGTTGAGATAAACGTGTCGGAACGATCCAGTCGATGGTCCTGTTTCTGTGTCGTTCGTGTTCTCTTTAAACCACCCACCCCACCACCACGTGTCTCACGCAATTACGGACTCGTCGAGATCCATAATACTCACACAGAGACCCGTAGACTCACACAGAGACCCATAGACTCACACATAGACCCATAGACTCACACAAAGACTCATAGACTCACACAAAGACTCATAGACTCACACAGAGACCCAGACTCGCATAGAGACCCATAGACGCACACAGAGACCCATAGACTCACACATAGACCCATAGACTCACACAAAGACTCATAGACTCACACAGAGACCCATAGACTCACACAGAGGCCCATAGACTCACACAGAGGCCTATAGACTCACACAGAGACCCACAGACTCACACAGAGACCCATAGACTCACACAGAGACCCATAGACTCGCACAGAAATCCGTAGACTCACACAGAGACCCATAGACTCACACAGAGACCCATAGACTCACACAGAGACCCATAGACTCACACAGAGACCCATAGACTCACACAGAGACCCATAGAGTCACACAGCCGTAGACTCAGACAGAGACATATAGACTCACACAGAGACCCACACAGAGATCCATAGACTCACACAGAGACCCATAGACTCACACAGAGACCCAGACTCACACAGAGACCCATAGACGCACACAGACCCATAGACTCCCACAGAGACCCATAGACTCACACAGAGACCCATAGACTCACACAGAGACCCATAGACTCACAGAGACCCACATGTCGCACTCCCGAAGCCAGAGGTCATCACCGGTTCATTTTCAATCTCCCGGCGAGGCCCTCGCGGCCACCAACAACACCGGTGATGGCGATCGTCAGAACCGGTCCTGGGGGGGGGGGGGCCTCCCCCACCCACCCCCCCCACCACCCCTAGGTCGACTCGGCATGAAACGCCTACCGGGCGCGGTGCGTGGTCAACATCGACGGTGATTTTCCCACGAAGCCAACTTCCTGCGCCGGCCTTCATAGGCGCTGCTGCTGCTGTTGCTGCTGTTGTTGCTGCTGCTGTTGTTGCTGTTGCTGCTGCTGCCGCCGCTGCTGCTGCTGTTGCTGCTGCTGCTGTTGCTGCTGCTGTTGCTGCTGCTGTTGGCTAGCAGCTCCCTTGCCCCAACAACGATCTCGGCGCGCCGAGTTTGACGGGGAGCGGTCGTCGTCGATTTGCCGTCGATTTGCCGAGCGATCGAATTCGCCGGGGGTCTCTCCCCCCCCACTCCACCACTCACCGATTTTGGACTCGCTCGGAGATCCCCGATCCCCGCCAAACCGCGGCGGCGTGCCACGGTGGAGTTCCCCGTAACCGTGGAACTCTAAGGAGGACCCCCCTCCCCCATCCCTTCATAGAGTCGAGAGGCAAAACCAAAAGGTGCGGTGAAACGCGGCGATTGTGGGATTCTCCGAAACCCCCTTTTCCCCCCGATACTTTTAAAGCTTGAAGTTTTTGTTTTGTTACGAGTTGTGTATTTTTTTTTTACTACCACAGCTCTCTCCCCCACCCGCTCCCCTTAAGTAACGTCGTCACTCCGTACGGAGTTTGTTCTTCGTGAGTATTTTATCTTATTTTATTTTGTCGTCCGATCGATGTTCGTTTGTATCACGACGACGACGATCGTCGACAAGATGGCGGAAGCGTTGCCATGGCGATTTCCCCCCCTCCCTCATTGGTCCAACCGTCGTCACGGCGTGACGACGCGTCAACGCCAGCCAATCAGATCTCGAGAATAGCGAAAGGCGTCACAGTGAGCCCCCCTCCCCCCTGGCCCTGCTGGGCTCAGCTTGGCATACAGCCAGTGGGAAAACAAACCGACCTGTACCGTGCTGGCTCTGTGTGTGTGGTATGTGTGTGGTACCCTGTGTGTGTGTGGTTACCTGTGTGTGTGTGGTTACCTGTGTGTGTGTGGTGTGTGTGTGGTTACCTGTGTGTGGTGTGTGTGTGGTTACCTGTGTGTGTGTGTGTGTGGTTACCTGTGAGTGTGTGGTGTGTGTGTGGTTACCTGTGAGTGTGTGGTGTGTGTGGTTACCTGTGAGTGTGTGGTGTGTGTGGTTACCTGTGTGTGTGTGTGTGTGGTTACCTGTGAGTGTGTGGTGTGTGTGTGGTTACCTGTGAGTGTGTGGTGTGTGTGGTTACCTGTGTGTGTGTGTGGTTACCTGTGAGTGTGTGTGTGTAGTACCTAGTGAGTGTGTGTGGTTACCTGTGTGTGTGTGGTTACCTGTGTGTGTGTGTGTGGTACCTGTGTGTGTGTGTATAGCGGTGGGTGGAACACAGTGGGGCGGGTGGGCAGGCGGAACTTTGTTGTTGTTGTTGCTGCTGGCTGGAGTTGACGATGCAGCGGAGCGGGATTTGTTTGGATGTTTACAAGCGAAGGAATTTATTTTCTCACCAAACGCCCACCCCCCCCCCTCCTTAGAGGAGTTCATTAAAACAAATCAAATTCCCGAGACCATTCTAATGTCATTGTCTACGGTGTCTCTTCCATTCCGAAGGAGTTGGGGGGGGGGGTCAATTCGTATTCGTTTTAAATTGACTTTTAGCAAGTGTTGTCACTGTCATGTTGGAGTGTTCCATTTGGTTACGGGGGGTTTGTAAGATTCCAACTGCGCACAGGACCGGTTCAGATAATCGTCACCGGTGGTGTTGGCCGTGAGTGGGAATCGAACTCGGGTCGCCGGGTTCGTAGCGCAGCGCTAATTACCACACACAGGCACGTGTGTGTGTGTACGTGTGTGTGTGTATAGCGGTATACACACGTAAGTGTGTGTGTGTGTACGCGTGTGTGCGGACACATCTCAGTCGACCCGTGGCACCTGCTGGGTCTGCCCCGTGACCTGCCAGCGGGCGTTCGACACTTCACGTGGTAGCCTCAAGGTGCACATGGCCTGGCACAAGCGTCGTGGTGACATCACCGCCACTTAGTGGCGAATGGCGGTTGTTGTTGTGTGGACACATGCGAGCCGAGCCAGCACGGTACGGGTGCAGGTTTGTGTTGTTATTGTTGACCAGGTCAAGGCCCATCACAGGTGACGGCTTCAGCGGAGGAGGAGGAGGCTGATGATGTAATTCTCGTCATCACGTGGAAATTCATGTCGAGAACACAAACACTCCCATGAACGCCTTGGCATCCATTCTAAATCTCACTCGCCACACTCGTTGGTTGCCGGAACCGAGCCGGAACCGAGCCGGAACCGAGCCGGAACCGAGCTTGGAACCGAGCCGGAACCGAGCCGGAACCGAGCCGGAACCGAGCCTGGAACCGAGCCGGAACCGAGCCGGAAGCGAGCCGGAACCGAGCCGGAACCGAGCCGGAACCGAGCTGGAACCGAGCCTGGAACCGAGCCGGAACCGAGCCGGAACCGAGCCGGAACCGAGCCGGAACCGAGCCGGAACCGAGCCGGAACCGAGCCGGAACCGAGCCGGAACCGAGCCGGAACCGAGCCGGAACCGAGCCGGAACCGAGCTGGAACCGAGCCGGAACCGAGCCGGAACCGAGCCGGAACCGAGCCGGAACTGAGCTTGGAACCGAGCCGGAACCGAGCCGGAACCGAGCTGGAACCGGGCTGGAACCGAGCTGGAACCGGGCTGGAACCGGGCTGGAACCTAGCTGGAACCGAGCTGGAACCAGGCCGGAACCGAGCCGGAACCGAGCCGGAACCGAGCCGGAACCGAGCCGGAACCGAGCCGGAACCGAGCCGGAACCGAGCCGGAACCGAGCCGGAACCGAGCCGGAACCGAGCCGGAACCGAGCCTGGAACCGAGCCGGAACCGAGCCGGAACCGAGCCGGAACCGAGCCGGAACCGAGCCGGAACCGAGCCGGAACCGAGCCGGAACCGAGCCGGAACCCGAGCCGGAACCGAGCCGGAACCGAGCCGGAACCGAGCCGGAACCGAGCCGGAACCGAGCCGGAACCGAGCCGGAACCGAGCCGGAACCGAGCCGGAACCGAGCCGGAACCGAGCCGGAACCGGGCCGGAACCGGGCCGGAACCGGGCCGGAACCGGGCCGGAACCGGGCCGGAACCGGGCCGGAACCGGGCCGGAACCGGGCCGGAACCGGGCCGGAACCGGGCCGGAACCGGGCCGGAACCGGGCCGGAACCGGGCCGGAACCGGGCCGGAACCGGGCCGGAACCGGGCCGGAACCGGGCCGGAACCGGGCCGGAACCGGGCCGGAACCGGGCCGGAACCGGGCCGGAACCGGGCCGGAACCGGGCCGGAACCGGGCCGGAAACCGGGCCGGAACCGGGCCGGAACCGGCGACCGGGAACCGGGGCCGGAACCGGGCCGGAACCGGGCCGAACCGGGCCGGAACCGGGCCGGACCGGGCCGGAACCGGGCCGGAACCGGGCCGGAACCGGGCCGGAACCGGGCCGGAACCGGGCCGGAACCGGGCCGGAACCGGGCCGGAACCGGGCCGGAACCCGGGCCGGAACCGGGCCGGAACCGGGCCGGAACCGGGCCGGAACCGGTCCGGAACCGGCCGAACCGGCCGGAACCGGGCCGGAACCGGGCCGGAACCGGGCCGGAACCGGGCCGGAACCGGGCCGGAACCGGGCCGAACCGGGCCTGAACCGGGCCGGAACCGGGCCGGAACCGGGCCGGAACCGGGCCGGAACCGGGCCGAACCGTGCCGGAACCGGGCCGGAACCGGGCCGGACGGGCCGGAACCGGGCCGGAACCGGGCCGGAACCGGGCCGGAACCGGGCCGGAACCGGGCCGGAACCGGGCCGGAACCGGGCCGGAACCGGGCCGGAACCGGGCCGGAACCGGGCCGGAACCGGGCCGGAACCGGGCCGGAACCGGGCCGGAACCGGGCCGGAACCGGGCCGGAACCGGGCCGGAACCGGGCCGGAACCGGGCCGGAACCGGGCCGGAACCGGGCCGGAACCGGGCCGGAACCGGGCCGGAACCGGGCCGGAACCGGGCCGGAACCGGGCCGGAACCGGGCCGGAACCGGGCCGGAACCGGGCCGGAACCGGGCCGGAACCGGGCCGGAACCGGGCCGGAACCGGGCCGGAACCGGGCCGGAACCGGGCCGGAACCGGGCCGGAACCGGGCCGGAACCGGGCCGGAACCGGGCCGGAACCGGGCCGGAACCGGGCCGGAACCGGGCCGGAACCGGGCCGGAACCGGGCCGGAACCGGGCCGGAACCGGGCCGGGCGAACCGGGCCGGAACCGGGCCGGAACCGGGCCGGAACCGGGCCGGAACCGGGCCGGAACCGGGCCGGAACCGGGCCGGAACCGGGCCGGAACCGGGCCGGAACCGGGCCGGAACCGGGCCGGAACCGGGCCGGAACCGGGCCGGAACCGAGCCGGAACCGAGCCTGGAACCTAGCCGGAACCGAGCTGGAACCGAGCCGGAACCAGGCCGGAACCGAGTCGGAACCGAGCCGGAACCGAGCCGGAACCGTGCTGGAACCGAGCTGGAACCGAGCCGGAACCGAGCTGGAATTGAGCTGGAACCGAGTCGGAACCGGGCTGGAACCGAGCCTGGAACAGAGCTGGAACAGAGCTGGAACCGAGCTGGAACCGAGTCGGAACCGAGCTGGAACCGAGCCTGGAACAGAGCTGGAACCGTGCTGGAACCGAGCTGGAACCGAGCCTGGAATCGAGCTGGAACCGAGCTGGAACCGAGCCGAAACTGAGCTGGAATCGAGCCGTGGTGTGCCTCTGAATCTGGCTCTGGTGCGGTGGGGGGTGTGGGGGGTGACGTCACGCACGGGGCGAACGCATCATGATCGCCTGTCCCTGATTGGCCCTGGATCCAGATGCTCGATTGACGGAGCTGAAAATTCTATTTTTCTAACCAGGTCACAAGCCCCCCCCCCCCCCCCCACTGAGCCGTGCAGCTTGTTTTGTGTTTGTTCAGAGGCGGACCATAGCCCAGTGTGTAGAGTGGCTCTATCATCATCATCGTCATCATAGCAGGCGCCAAATATATTCTAAACGCCGCGTGACGGTGACTCAACAATGTGGAGGCGGGGAGACGCAGCAAACTCCACATATACAACAGCAGGCGTCGTCAGGGTCAAACACACGAGAACTCCCTCCTGTAGACCAGGCGAGGTCGTCAACATCTGGCCGCCGTGATACTCACCACCGCCTCCGCCACATCGCGCCCGCGGGGACGCTGCTTGACCTAGACGCGTGGCGATGTTCAGTCTGCTGGAGGGGGTGGTCCCGAACCGTCGGCGCGGTGGTGAGCTTGCTAACGACTCTGAGCTTACTGACAGTGGTGGGCTTACGTAGAATGGAAAAAATAAAATAATAAAAAATAAAACAAAGTCTTTTATTATTTCCATTTTACGTGACTTTACAGAAAGAACCAAGGAGATGAATCCCTGCAGTCACGAAAGAAGCTTTAAATCGAACTTTAATGGTGATTTTACTGACAGTGGTGAGCTTACTGACTACTCTGAGCTTATTCTCGATTTCCATGGAACTTGTTTTGGGTTCGCACCCCTCTCCCTGTCGCGAAACGGCCTTGCGATGGTTTTTGTTGAGGCTGTTGACGTTGTTTTGGTTGTTGTTGTTGTCGAGCGAAAGGCTCTCGCTCGCCAGGGTTGTTGTTGTTGATGATGTGGGAGATGTAAACAGACACAAAAGCGATACTAAGTTGAAATAAACTGAGAGATGATGATTATGATAATAAAAAACATCCCTTTTTTAGGGCTTGTTTTTGGTGTGTGTGTGTCACTGTGTGACTGTGTGTGTGTGTGTATGGTTTGGTGAAATCGCATGTCTGTGGCGATGTTTACTACACACCGCACCAGGTACTCATTTGAGGCCGAGTCGTTCTAGGGGAGGCCCAGGACCGGTTCAGATAATCGTCACCTATGTTGGCCGTGAGTGGGAATCGAACTCGGGTCGCCGGGTTCGTAGCGCAGCGCTCCCCACGACCACACACAGACACGTGTATGTACACGCGTGTGTGTGTACACGTGTACACATACGTGTACGCGTGTACACATACGTACACACACAGCCACAACGCAGCAGGTGTGCTGGCCAGGTAATGTGCACTGGGGGCAGGAATCCCGGGGTCCCATCGCTCCACCATCTCCATGCGAGCGCGGTGGATTCCCCAACAAGGCGTCATCACGATGCCTCTCCGGGGAGATGTTGGGAGGATTTGACAACAGACTCACTCACATCGCAGAGACAAAGATCCCCCCCGTGTAGCCCGCTGGGCGTGGTGCTGGCCACCCACCCCCTCGTGTGCCGTGCCGGCCTTCATAGGTGCTACTGGCTAACAGCACTTGCCCCTATAGTCTGTCGAGGCTACACGGGGGATCTTTGCACCAGCTGTGCCCCCACACACTCCCTGACAAAGTCAAAGTTCCCCCGTGTAGCCTGTAGCACTGTTGGGGGCCAAGTGCTGTTTGCGAGCACCTATTAAGGCCGGCACTGGTGGCGATCGAGGGGGGTGATGTGGCCAGTAACCACGCCCGGCCGCCTTTGTCTCTCTCACCCACACAAAATCACGCATGCCAGCGGCTTGTAGTCGTGATCATAAAACCGATTTAATAAATACACAAATAAATATTTGTACACGCATCGTGAGAGAGCGAGAGAGGGCACAGAGAGAGCGGGCTTGGCATGGCGGGCGGCACTTAAGGATCTTAACTTACCAATAAATATATCTTAAGATTGCGACAAAGCAAAGGACGGAAGGATAAAAAAAACACATTAAAAGTTATCAGACGCGTACGATAAATGTCGTGATCTTGGAACAAGCGTTTAAAGTTGACACGTGGAGGTCTTCTGCAGCCCAGGATTATCATCATCACGATCATCATCATCACGATCATCATCATCACGATCATCATCATCACGATCATCATTACGATCATCATCATCATCACGATCATCATCATCATCACGATCATCATCACGATCATCATCATCACGATCATCATCACGATCATCATCACGATCATCATCATCACGATCATCATCATCACGATCATCATCATCACGATCATCATCATCACGATCATCATCACGATCATCATCATCACGATCATCATCATCATCATCACGATCATCATCATCACGATCATCATCATCATCACGATCATCATCATCGCGATCATCATCGTGGTGATCCCGGATTTCACGAGCGCGTGCAAGGATACTCACAAATGACAAAGGCTGCAAATTTCGATTTAAAGCTTCTTTCGTGACTGCAGGGATTCATCTTCTTGGTTCTTTCGGTAAAGTCACGACGTAGAAGGGAAGTAATAAAATAATAAAAATAAAACATAATAAAATAATTCTAACGACGTTTCGGCCACAACGCAAGCAGCCGTCCTCAGGTGAAAACCAGGTCACACGCGCACACTGCACCAGGTACTCGTTTGAGGCTGAGTCGACCTAGGCTCGAGGCCCAGATATCGGGTTCGGCAGATGCTCGTCACGTGTTTTTTTTTCGGCGTGCTGGGCAGCTGTGAATCGAACGTGTGCCCGATGCAGCGCTAACCACTGCGCCACCGCTCCCCACGATTGTTCACTCCCTCACCCCCCACCCTCACCTCCCTCTTCACCCCCCGCACCACCCTCACCCGGTGAGCTGAGAGCTCGACGCCATCGGCACGGTTCGGCTACGTGTGGTTCGAAAGAAGTTCAACGCCCACGCACCATGTACTCTTTTGAGGCCGAGTCGTTCTAGGGGAGGCCCAGGACCGGTTCAGATAATCGTCACCGGTGTTGGTGGCCGTGAGCGGGACTCGAACTAGGGTAGCCTAGGTTCGTAGTTCAGCGCGCTAACCGCTGCGCCACCGCTGCGCCACACACAGACACACACAGAGACACACACAGACACGCGATTTCACCAACCCATAGACACACGCACTCGGTGGGTGGGTGGGTGGTGGTGGAGGGCATGGCGACACAAACATCGAGCCGCACAACATCGAGGGCGTGGGGGCCCCTTGCCACAGAAGTCCGCGGCTCTGTCGCGATCCGGCGGAGGTCATCCGGGGAGGTCATCCGGGGGTCATCCGGAGGTCATCCAGTGTCTTCTGGAGGTTATCTAGGGGTGATCTAGGGGTCGTCCAGGGGTCATCCGGGAGGTCATCCAGGGGGTCATCCAGGTGTCTTCCGGAGGTTATCTAGGGGTCATCCGTGGGTCATCAGGGAGGTCATCCAGGGGGTCATCCAAGTGTCTTCTGGAGGTCATCCGGGAGGTCATCTGGGAGGTCATCCAGGGGTCGTCCAGGGGTCATCAGATAGGTCACCTAGGGGGTCATCCAGGTGTCTTCCGGGGGTCATCCGGAGGTCATCCAGGGGGTCATCCAAGTGTCTACAGGTCATCCGGGAGGTCATCCAGGGGTCATCCTTGGGGAGGTCATCCGATCTCGGGAAGGCTCTGGCAGGCGCCGTGAGTCTGGGTTTGTCTTCAGGAGCGCGTCACCACCCAGACGCTTGCCAGGTGCCCAAGGCGTGGTGGGGCGGGTGGGGCGGGTGGGGCGGGTGGGGTGGGAGGGGTGGGAGCCACCTTGTGGCAACGTCGCCTTGGCCCTTCCCCCCACATCATCATCATCAGAAGTCCATCCACCACCACCACCCTCCTCTCCCCCGTCAGTTACAAACCAAAACAAAGATCCCCCGTGTAGCCTGTAACAGGCTGTCGGGGCAAGTGCTGTTAGCGAGCAGCACCTGTGAAGGCCGGCACAGCACACGTTGCCAGCGCAACGCCCAGCCGCCTTTGTCTCCCCAGTGGCGATGTTTATTGCACACCGCTACACCAGCGACTCATTTGAGGCGGAGTAGACCTAGGGGAGGCCCAGGACCGGTTCAGATAATCGTCACTGGTGTTGGCCGTGAGCGGGAATCGAACTCTGGTCGCCGGGTTCTGAGTGCAGCGTAGCGCTAACCGCTGCACCACCGCTCCCCTCAAGAACAACAACAACAGCCGCCATTCGCCACGAAGTGGCGGTGACGTCACCACGGCGCTTGTTGTGCCAGGCTAGGTGCACGTTAATGCCACGTGAAGTGTCGAACGCCCGCCGGCAGGAGGTCACGGGACAGACCCAGCAGGTGCCATGGGCTGACTGCTGTGCCAGGCTAGGTGCAGGAGGAGGTCACGGGACAGACCCAGCAGGTGCCATGGGCTGACTGCTGTGCCAGGCTAGGTGCAGGAGTAGGTCACGGGACAGACCCAGCAGGTGCCATGGGTTGACTGCTGTGCCAGGCTAGGTGCAGGAGGAGGTCACGGAGCAGACCCAGCAGGTGCCATGGGCTGACTGCTGTGCCAGGCTAGGTGCAGGAGGTTACGGGACAGACCCAGCAGGTGCCATGGGCTGGCTGGCTGGCTGGCTGACTCACTGGCCGCTTGACTGCCTAGCCGTCTGCCTCGCTGGCTGACTGCCTAGCCGGCTGACTCACTGACCGTCTGACTGCCTCGCTAGCTGTCTGACTTGCTGTCTGTCTGGCTGGCACGGACGAACGGCTCCGGTCCTATTCCTCCCCTGTCCCCCCCCCAAAAAAACCCCAAAGTCTCCGGACCCGTTCAGGTGTTGCCAAGTTTGTCCGCCGCCCGCTGCTGAACCGGTCCGCTCCTCTCCAGAGGCTTCCGCTGCTGCTGATGCTGCTGCAGATGCTGCTGCTGATGCTGCTGTTGCGGCTGTTGCTGCTGCAGATGCTGCTGCTGATGCTGCTGTTGCCGCTGCTGCGGCTGCTGCAGATGCTGCTGCTGCTGTTGCCGCTGCAGATGCTGCGGCTGCTGCGGCTGCTGATGATGATGATGCTGACGCTGCTGCTGCTGATGCTGCTGCTGTAGATGCTGTTGCTGCTGCTGCTGCCGCTGCTGCAGTTGCAGATGCTGCGGCTGCTGCTGCTGCAGATGCTGCTGCTGCTGCTGCTCCACGTGTCTGGGCAGGAAGTGCGCGAACCGCTGCGTGCGACGAGTCCGCGTGGCGTCGCGCGCGCTGCCGTCTCGGTTGAGCCCCAAGTAGAGACGCCTCCCGCTCGGCCGCTGGCGGTGGAGGCTGGAGGAGTACGTGTTGTACCAGTTCTCCTCGAACTCCTCCTTGAAGACGCACTCCGCACTCAGCCGGGTCTACAGGGAGAGAGATGGGGTGGTAGGGGGGGTGGTGGTAGGGGTGGTGATGGTGGTGTTGATGATGGTGGTGGTGGTAGGGGTGGTGATGTTGGTGGTGATGATGGTGCTGGTGGTGGTAGGGGTGGTGGTGGTGGTGGTGATTATGTTGATGATGTTGATGATGTTGTTGATGGTGTTGATGGTGTTGATGATGATGTTGATGATGTTGTTGATGGTGTTGATGGTGTTGATGATGATGTTGATGGTTTTGATGGTGTTGATGATGATGTTAATGATGATGTTGATGATGATGTTGATGATGTTGGTGTTGTTGATGTCTCACCGCTCCATAGAGCTCCCCTCTGTCGTTCATGGCCAGGAACCTCCCAGTGTCCACCCCACGGATGCTCACCAGGCCTACGGCGATGCTGAAGAACTCGAGGATGCCTGGGGGTAACACAACGACAACATTGGCCCAAGTTGCTGCAACGTTGGTTCAACCACACGCCGACGTCGAACCAACGTTGGTTCAACGTACGAGAGACCTGCGAGTAGCAGCAGCCTGTGAAGAGCGTCAGGGTGGTACACGAATGGCTGAGTCGTGGACAGACACAGACCAACTTCACCCTCTCAACTCCACCATCCCTGCCCCTCTCCTCCCTATGAAATGTTGACTACCTCACCACGGAGAGAGAGGCACGCAAACTCCAAATATACAGCAGCAGGCGTCAGGGTCAAGATTGAACCCACGACCTCCTGTAGACCAGGCGAGGTAGTTAACATCTCACCACGGAGAGAGAGAGACACCCAAAATTCCAAATATACAGCAGCAGGCGTCAGGGTCGGGATTGAACCCACGACCTCCTGTAGACCAGGCGAGGTAGTCAACATCTCACCACGGTATTACAACGCAGGTCGATGTGATCTCCAGGCGCGGCAGTTACAACACCGTTACGAGTTACAGAGACAGCTTCCCCGTGTAGCATTAACAGGCACACGAGGGGGTGGGTGGCCAGCACCACGCCCGGCCGCCTTTGTCTTCCCAGTGTCGATTTTTCTTTTAACACACCGCACCAGGTACTTATTTGAGGCTGAGTCGACCTAGGTGAGGCCCAAAACCAGGTTCAGATAATCGTCGCTGGTGTTGGTGGTAGCCGTGAGCCGGAATCGAACTCGGGTCGCCGGGTTCGAAGCGCAGTGCAGTGCCAACCGCTGCACCACCACTCCCCACATTCACACAGACATACAAAGATCCCCGGTATAGCCTGAACAGACTGTAGGGGCAAGTGCTGTTAGCGAGCACCTATGAAGGCCGGAACGGTACACGAGGGGGTGGGTGGCCAGCACCACGCCCGACCGCCTTTGTCTCCATAGTGGCGATGTTTACACAGCGCACCAGGTACTCATTTAAGGCTGAGTCGACCTAGGGGAGGCCCAGGACCGGTTCAGATAATCGTCACTGGTGTTGGCCGTGAGCGGGAATCGAACCCGGGTCGCCAGGTTCATAGCGCAGCGCGCTAACCGCTACACTACCGATCCCCACTACACAGACATACACACACATACACACACGCACACACACATACACACACATATATATACACACACACATACACACACATATATACATACACACACTCATACACACATATATACACACACATACACACACATACACAACAACAACCGCCATTCGCCACTAAGTGGCGGTGACGTCACCACGACGCTTGTGCCAGGCCAAGTGCACCTTGAGGCCACGTGAAGTGTCGAACGCCCGCTGGCAGGGTCACGGGGCAGACCCAGCAGGTGCCACGGGTCGACTGACTGAGATGACCGAGATGACTGGCTGATGCACCACCTGTGCCCCCTACTGTGCCGACTTGCTGTGTTTTAGCCACCCGGCGCTCCGCTCGTTGTTGTGAGCGTCGCTCCTGCGCCCTCCGTTGTAGTTGGAGGGCGACTGGCTCCAACTGCCCAGTAGCGTCCTTCACGAGCCTCCTCCACAGAGGCCGATCTTGACACCGCTGGTACCAGTCATCGGCAAGTCCACTCAGCTCCACGTCCTCCTGTACCACATCACTCCATCTCTTCTCCAGCCCGTGCCGCGCCCGTTTAGAGACCCTCGATCCGGCCGAACAAAAGCTGTCTAGGCATGCGGTGGCTGGGCATGCGGGCTACATGACCCAGCCAACGCAGCCTTGCCTGCCGGAGGAGCTCACCGATGGGACTTTGCCCAGATCTTTCAAGGATTTGTGAGCTCCTCACACAATCCAGCCTGGTGAAACCCAGGATGGATCGTAGGCAGGCCAGCCTAAATGTTTATAACCGGCGAAGATGCTCCATTATACACACACATACACACACGCACATATACACACAAACACACACATACATGCACACACACACATACACACATACGCGCACATACACACACATACACGCACACACACATACAGACACGCACACACATGCACATGCACATACATACACACATACACACACATACACGCACACACATACATACACACATACACACACGTGTCAACACGTCACGCACACTGCACTAAGCCTCCACACAAACACACTGACACGTGCACACACGCGCACACGTGTCACCACATCGAGCACACTGTATTTTGCACACACACACTTACACACACATACACGCACACACTTACACGCACACACACTTACACACACACACACTTACACACACACACACTTACACACACTTACACACACATACACACACACTTACACACACACACACTTACACACACACTTACACGCACACACACACTTACACACACACTTACACACACTTACACACACATACACACACACTTACACACACTTACACACACATACACACAACAACAACAACCGCCATTCGCCACTAAGTGGCGGTGACGTCACCACGACGCTTGTGCCAGGCCATGTGCACCTTGAGGCCACGTGAAGTGTCGAACGCCCGCTGGCAGGAGGTCACGGGGCAGACCCAGGTGCCACGGGTCGACTGACCGAGATGACCGAGATGACTGGCTGATGCCCCACCTGTGCCCCCTACTGTACCAACTTGCTGTGCTTTAGCCACCCGGCGCTCAGCTCGTAGTTGTGAGCGTCGCTCCTCCGCCCTCCATTGTTGTTGGAGGGCGACTGCCTCCAACTGCCCAGTAGCGTCCTTCACGAGCCTCCTCCACTGAGGCCGATCTTGACACCGCTGGTACCGGTCATCGGCAAGTCCACTCAGCTCCACGTCCTCCTGTACCACGTCACTCCATCTCTTCTCTAGCCCGTGTCACTCACCCACCCACTCACTCACCCATCACTCCATCTCTTCTCTAGCCCGTGGCGCGTCCGTTTAGCCCCCTCTCAATACGGCTAAACAGAAGCTGCTTGGGGCACGCGGTGGCTGGGCATGCGGTGGCTGGGCATGCGGTGGCTGGGCATGCGGTGGCTGGGCATGCGGTGGCTGGGCATGCGGTGGCTGGGCATGCGGTGGCTGGGCATGCGGGCTACGTGGCCCAGCCAACGCAGCCTCGCCTGCCGGAGGAACTCACCGATGGGACTTTGTCCAGATCTTCAAAGGCTCTGTGGAGCTCCTCAACACATTCCAGCCTGCAGGTTCAACGGAGGATGGATCGTAGGCAAGCCAGACCCCGAGTGTTTAAAACCGGCGAAAGATATTCCATTATATAGGGGAGCGTTTCGCAAGCGTAGAGAAGGGAGGGAATGACTGTGGCCGAGAAGACGTGAAGCTTCGTGCGGAGCGACAGACCAGGTAGCTTCCACACAGCGTTACGCAACCGATGAAAAGATAATGCCGCTCGACTGATTCGGAGTGAGACCTCTGCTGTCAAACCGGAGCCGGTCATGAGCACACTGCCCAGGTATGGGAAACTCTCCACTCTCTCCACAACTGCCCCATCGCCAATTGAGAGTTGTGGGAGTAGAGTGCCCGATGGTACAAAATACCCAGGCAGGTGCTTAGTTTTGGTGGGGCTGATGGTAAGGCCCCACCTCTTAGTGGCACGCTCCGGTCTCAGCAGCAGCAGCGTCTCCAACTCCTCCTCTGAATGAGCAGCTATTGATGCGCCGTGACCGAGAAGACCCGAAGCTTCGTACGGAGGAGCGACAGGCCAGGTAGCTTCCACGCAGCGTTACAGCAGCCGATGAGAAGATAAATTTCGCTCCACCAAAACCGGAGCCGCTCCAAAGGACACTGCCCAGGCTACGGGAATTCCTCCACTCTCTCCAAACAAAGACAAAGCTCCCCCGTGTAGCCTGTAACAGGCTGTCGGGGCAAGTGCTGTTAGCGAGCAGCACCTATGAAGGCCGGAACGGCACACGAGGAGGTGGGTGGACAGCACCACGCCCGGCCGCCTTTGTCTCCCCAGTGGTCATGTTTACTACACACCGCTACACCAGGTACTCATTTGAGGCTGAGTCGTCCTAGAGGAGGCCCAGGACCGGTTCAGATAATCGTCACCGGTGTCGGTGGCCGTTGAGCGGGAATCGAACTCGGGATGCAGCATCACGAAATAGTTTAGTCCACCTTATAATCCACCTTATAGTCGACCTCGCAGTCGACCTCACAGTTGACCTCGCAGTCCATCTCATAGTCCATCTCACGGTTAATCTCACGGTTTAACTCATGGTCAATTTCATGGCTAATTTCATGGCGAATCTCATGGTTAATCTCATGGTTAATCTCATAGTTAATCTCATAGTTAATCTCATGGTTAATCTCATGGTCAATTTCATGGCTAATCTCATGATTAATCTCATGGTTAATCTCATGGTCAATTTCATGGTTAATCTCATGGTTAATTTAATGGTCAATTTAATGGTCAATCTCATGGTTAATCTCATGGTTAATCTCATGGTTAATTTAATGTTCAATTTCATGGTTAATCTCATGGTTAATTTAATGGTCAATCTCATGGTTAATTTAATGGTCAATCTCATGGTTAATCTCATGGTTAATTTAATGTTCAATTTCATGGTTAATCTCATGGTTAATGTAATGGTCAATCTCATGGTTAATCTCATGGTTAATTTCATGGTTAATTTCATGGTCAATTGCATGGTTAATTTAATGGTCAATTTCATGGTCAATCTCATGGTTAATTTAATGGTTAATCTCATGGTTCATTTAATGGTCAATCTCATGGTTAATCTCATGGTCAATTTAATGGTTAATTTAATGGTCAATCTCATGGTTAATTTCATGGTCAATTTCATGGTCAATTTAATGGTTATTCTCATGGTAAATTTCATGGTCAATCTCATGGTCAATCTCATGGTCAATCTCATGGATAATTTCATGGTCAATTCCATGGTCAATCTCATGGTCAATCTCATGTTTAATTTAATGGCCAATCCCATGGTCAATCCCATAGTCCACCACACAGCCCACCATCATCTCACAGTCCACATCGCCAAGTAGTCCATCACACCTTAGCACCCACCCCCCCGTACCGAATCTGCTGTGATCCCTGCGGGTCCCGCGTACAGTTCCGTTAGCGAGGATCTCGAGGTGATGTCCCGTGCGGCAGTAGAGTTGCCGCCTCCTCAACATGCCGCCCGGCAGGTGAGACGACGCCTCGCTGAGGCCCAGCAGGGCGCCTAGGGAAGACACCCGGGACCCCTCATCCACCTTGCCATCCTCCAGCCTCCTGTTGTTGTTGTTGTTGTGCTGATGGTGGTGGTGGCGGTTGTTGTTGTTGTTGTGATGGCTTTTCTTCTGCTTCTGATGGTGATGTTGTTGTTGTTGGTGGTGGTGGTGGTGGTGTTGGTGGACATCTTGAGGTGGGACCAGCAGGAGATGGTCACGGTACTGGACGAGGGGCGGCACGGGAGGCAGCATCAAGGTGACGCCTCCTGCCGCAACAGCGGCAACAGCGAGCGGAGCCATCGTGAGAGCTTCACGGTGGTGGTGGTGGTGGTGATGGTGGTGGTGAGGGTGGTGGTGGTGGTGAGGGTGGTGGTGATGATGGTGGTGATGGTGGTGGTGGTGGTGATGGTGGTGGTGGTGATGGTGGTGGTGATGGTGGTGGAGGTGGTGGTGGAGGTGGTGTTGATGATGGTGGTGAGGGTGGTGGTGATGGTGGTGGTGGTGATGGTGTTGGTGGTGGTGGTGATGGTGGTGGTGATGATGGTGGTGGTGATGGTGGTGGTGATGATGGTGGTGGTGGTGGTGAGGGTGGTGGTGATGGTGATGGAGGTGGTGGTGGAGGTGGTGTTGATGATGGTGGTGAGGGTGGTGGTGATGGTGGTGATGGTCGTGGTGGTGGTGATGGTCGTGGTGATGGTGGTGGTGAGGGTGGTGGTGATGGTGGTGATGGAGGTGGTGGTGGTGGTGGTGATGGTGGTGGTGATGGTGGTGGTGAGGGTGGTGTTGATGGTGGTGATGGTGGTGATGATGATGATGATGGTGGTGGTGGTGATGGTGGTGGTGATGGTGGTGATGGTGGTGGTGTTGATGGTGGTGATGATGATGATGGTGGTGGTGATGATGATGATGGTGGTGGTGATGGTGGTGATGGTGGTGGTGAGGGTGGTGTTGATGGTGGTGATGGTGATGGTGTTGATGGTGGTGGTGTTGATGGTCGTGGTGATGGTGGTGGTGTTGATGGTGGTGGTGTTGATGGTGGTGGTGTTGATGGTGTTGATGATCTCTCTCTCCAGAGGTTGCACTCTCGATGTGATGCTGCTGATGATAGTGGAGATGCTGATGTTGATGGTGTTGTCGTTGATCGTGTTGTTGATGTTGTTCGTGTTGTTGATGTTGTTGTTGTTGTTGTTGTCGCCGCGTCTCTAAAGGTCACATCTTAACCCACAACTCGTTGCCACTTCAGTGAACAAACAAACATCGACGCCGAACTCAGCCCATGAGCTGTGGGCGAAGCTCACAGGAGCAGTCGACAACGCTGAAGGTGGTGGTGGTGATGGTGGTGATGGTGGTGACGATGGTGGTGATGACGATGGTGGTGGTGATGACGGTGATGATGCTGGTGATGGTGACACAGATGGTGGTGATGGTGGTGATGGTGATGGTGGTGGTGATGGTGACACAGATGATGGTGATGGTGGTGATGATGGTGATGGTGGTGATGATGTTGATGATGGTGGTGATGGTGGTGATGGTGACACAGATGATGTGCAGTAGGACATCACATGATGACAAAGGTTCGAGCAGTTACTCACGGAGAGACACGGAGAGAGACACGGGGAGTTAGAGGGAGACACGGAGAGAGACACGGGGAGAGACACACGGGGAGAGAGACACGGGGAGTTACATCGAGACTCGGGAGAGTTCGAGGGAGACACGAAGAGAGACACGGGAAGGTACAGGGAGACACGGAGAGACACGTAGAGACACGGGGAGTTCGAGGGAGACACGGAGAGACACACGGGGAGAGAGACACGGGGAGTTACATGGAGACTCGGGGGAGTTCGAGGGAGACACGGAGAGAAATGGGGAGACACGGAGAGAGACACGGGGGAGACACAGAGAGAGACACGGGGAGTTGCAGGGAGACACGGAGAGAGACACGGAGAGAGACACGGGGAGTTGCAGGGAGACAGAGACAGAGAGACACGGAGAGAGACACGGGGAGTTGCAGGGAGACACGGAGAGAGACACGGGGGAGACTGAGGGACCCGGGGAGGCTGACTCTGCGGAGAGTCTCTGCGGGTCCCACACAGGTGCGCTGTGACGTCACTAGAGAGGAACTCTCTCAGACACGCCCACAAACAGCCCCCCCCCTCCCTCTGTCTCATTCTCCCCCTCCCCCCTCTCCCCCCCTCTCCCTCCCTCCCCCCTCTCCCCCCCCCTCTCCCCCCCTCTCTCTCTTTTTTTGTTTTTTTTTCTCTCTTTTTTAAAATGCTTTCCTTTTTTTTCTTTTTTTTTACGATCAGACGAAACAAAAAGATGCTCGGTGTAGTTCGGCACTTTGCTTCGTTCATCATTTCGCTTTTTTTAGTTTTTTTTTGTTCCATTGCTTTGCTTTGTGTAACCCCCCCCCCCCCCCTCTAAATTAAAGATGCTACGTGTTGTCCCATTGTGTAACAATATCAATCTGTGCTACTTTCTTCGTAGACACAAACATCACCAACAACAAGAAGAAGCACGCTCTGCTCCCCCTCCTCATCCCTCCCCTCTCTCTACCCCCTCTCTCTCTCTACCCCCTCTCTCGCTACCCCCTCTCTCTCTACCCCCTCTCTACCCCCCCCCTCTCTCTCTCTACCCCCTCTCTCTCTCTACCCCCCCTCTCTCTCTCTACCCCCTCTCTCTCTACCCCCCCCTCTCTCTACCCCCTCTCTCTACCCCCTCTCTCTACCCCCCTCTCTCTCTACCCCCCTCTCTCTCTCTACCCCCCTCTCTCTCTACCCCCCCCTCTCTCTACCCCCTATCTCTACCCCCTCTCTCTCTACCCCCTCTCTCTCGCTACCCCCTCTCTCTCTACCCCCTCTCTCTCTACCCCCTCTCTCTCTACCCCCTCTCTCTCTCTACCCCCTCTCTCTCTACCCCCTCTCTATCTACCCCCTCTCTCTCTACCCCCTCTCTCTCTACCCCCTCTCTCTCCCTCTACCCCCTCTCTCTCTACCCCCTCCCTCTGTCTGCCCCCCCCCCCCGCCCTCCTCCATCTCTCTGCCTCCCCCCCATCTCTCTCCCCCCCCCTCTCCCCCCCCCCCTCTCCCCCCTCTCTCCCTTCTCTCCCCCCTCTCTCCCATACCCCCCCCCCATTCGTCTCCCTCCCTCTCCCCCCTCTTTCCTCTCTCTCCCCCCTCTCCCTCCCCCCTCTCTCTACCCTCCCCCCACCCTCTCCTCATCTCATGAATGGACCTCGCATTCTGTCAATGAACCTCTTAGTTGGTGGCAGTGGTTCATTTTATATTACTGCTGCTGCTGATGATGGTGCTGATGATGATGGATATGATGATGGTAATGATCGCAATGATGTAATGGTGTGATGTTATTGTTGATGATGATTTTGCTGATATGATCAAGACGATGATAACGGTGATGATGATTCTGCTGCTGCTGATGATGATGATCATACTGCTGATGATAGTGAGCATGAAATTACGGTGGTAGTGATGACGATGATGATGCTGCTTCCGATAATAATCAGATAATGATGATGTATAATATTATTACGTGTGTGCGTGTGTGTGGGTGTATCTAGCTGTGTGTACAGGTGTGTGTGTGAACAGGTGTGTGTTGTACAGGTGTGGGTACAGGTGTGTACAGGTGTGTGTGTTGTGTCTGTGTGTGTGGGCGTGTTTAGGTGTGTCTAGCTGTGTGCACAGGTGTGTGTACAGGTGTGTGTGTACAGGTGTGTGTGTACAGGTGTGTGTGTACAGGTGTGTGTGTGTACAGGTGTGTGTGTGTGTCTAGCTGTGTGTACAGGTGTGTGTACAGGTGTGTGTGTACAGGTGTGTGTGTACAGGTGTGTGTGGGCGTGTTTAGGTGTGTCTAGCTGTGTGTACAGGTGTGTGTACAGGTGTGTGTGTGTACAGGTGTGTGTGTGTACAGGTTTGTGTGAGCGTGTGTGGGTGTATCTAGCTGTGTGTACAGGTGTGTGTGTGTTATGTCTATGTGTGTGTGGGCGTGTAGGTGTGTCTAGCTGTGTGTACAGGTGTGTGTGTATGTACAGGTGTGTGTGTGTACAGGTGTGTGTGTACAGGTGTGTGTGCAGGTGTGTGTGTGTACAGGTGTGTGTTGTTGTGTTGGTCCGGCAAAAACAACCCCTACCTCCTCGTGGTGCCGGACGGCAGTATCGTGGGGGGAGGGCCAATTTAGACACACCTTCACTTTCCCGTCATGATGTTTGTAACCACCACAGCGGCCAAATGGGGGCTCTGGGCGGGTGCAAGGGGCTGGTAACCCCTCCACCTTCAATTAATTACCACTAAACTACGATTGCATTTTTTTTACTAAGCTTGTGCCGGAGGCCCCAAGGGGACAGGCATCTATGACGTCTCCTGGCCAAACCCCAATTGGCGGAACCAGGAGACTGAATCTTCACCCTCGGGGCTCCTCCAGAAACAACAAAAAGCCTCTACGGATGGCCACGTGGAATGTTCAAACACTCACTGCGGAGGAGAGGCTGCCACTCCTCTGTCGGGAGCTGGACCGGTACCGCCTGGATCTCTGTGGCATTCAGGAGGTCTGGTGGACCGGCTCTGGCTCCTGCCACCATGAGGGGTGGACAGTCTTCTACTCGGGGCAGGAGACTGCCAAACCACAGGGAGTGTCTCTTCTTCTGAACAAAATAGTGAAGGGGGCGTGGGAGCGTGGCGGTGAGATGTGGGAAGGTGTAAGCCCCAGACTACTTTGGGCTCGCCTTCCCATCAACCAGAGGCGAGGAGTGGTGGTCGTGGTTACTTATGCCCCCACCGAAGACGAACATACGTGGAGGGATGCAGGCAAGGCCGATGAGTCAGATGCCTTCTATGACCTCCTGTCACACGTGCTGGCTAAAATGTCCCCTTGGGATAGAGTCATCTTGTTGGGTGACTCAATGCCCGAGTTGATCATGATGCTGGCACCTGGTCTGGAGTAATTGATAGGCATGGGCCAGATCAGCTCAATAACAACGGTAGGAGGCTGCTAGATTTTTGTGCAGCCCATGGGCTCGTAATTACCAACATGCTGCTCCGGCATCGGCGCATCCACACAACATCATGGATGCATGCCGGGTCCAAGCAAGAACATCTGCTGGACTACATAGTGACGAAACAGCGGATGAGGGCCCATGTCCTTGACACCAGGACCTACCGTGGAGCTGATCTGCCCTCTGACCATCGACTAGTCATCTGTAAGATGCGCCTGCCATTCTTCCACTCCGGTGGTGGGTGTACACCCAGGACCCCATTCAAACCCATCGTGGCATGGTCTCAGCTAGCTGATGAAAGTTGCAAGTGACAATTCCATCATCGCTTGCGGCTGTG